CCCATGACTACACTAACGGTTCTGGCTCAGCCTCGGTGTCCTAACCTGCGCCGGCACAGCCTCAACCACGGCTCCTCTCACAGGGCAGCCGCGGGAGTAAATGGCACAATGTGTGGAAAGGAAAGCACTTGGTACAAGGCCCAGACCTGGTAAGTTGGGGTGGGGGGTGGTCGGCTAACAAAGGGGCCTGTGTGTAACCACAGATTGAGTCCAGTGAGCAGAGATCATTTTGGGTTTGATTATTGAGCAGGTTTTCTGGCTGAATTTAGCAGCTGATAGGCAGAGGTCAGCCAGGAAGGTGTCAGCCAAAGGTCTAGGAAGTGTCCACACCACATGGTGGAAAGCAGCCCACAGGCAGACGGCACAGCAGCTGGACGGCGCCTGCAGGACCTGGTTTGGGTCGCGGCCATCCCCTGGAGACCTGCTGGGTCCTTCACGGTGTGTGCTCCAGGAGGGGCACGCTACTGCCACCCCACTTTTTGTAAGACAGGCAGGGGAATGGATTTGCCAGCCAGGGGAAGCCAAGGCTGGAAGCTGGGGTGTCCACTGTTCAGGAAAACTGCATACTCCAGTGTGGGGAAACTTGCCGCGGACCAGCACAGCAGTAGACGATGAGGCCACCTCAGGGTTGAGAGAAGCGTGCAGGGTGGTCAGGGCGTCGGTGAAAGAAATGACAAACAGACACACTTCAAGAGTGAAAATCTGAGTGTAATTTTCTTTGAGTTTGTGACCAGTATATATATGTTTTCCAAAAGCACAGGAATGAATATCAAGGAAATCAGCTTGCTCATGGGCTCAGTCTATCACCATCAGGGAGGTGATCTACATAACAAGCAATGACCATTATGGAAGAAAGAAGGAAGTTTAGAAAGACAGATAAGGGATTAAAGTTTGTAGTTCTAGAAAGACGGAATAAGATTTTTAGCATTCTTGTAGTGGTTCCTGGTGGTCGTTATCTTTTGATAAGCTTCTGCCTTTTCAGAGAACTTCCGCTGTACTTCCTCTGCTTCAGGGTGTTATGCTGTTCTCCCCCTGCGCGCTGGTTGCCCAGCCGGCCCTAGGGCCGGTTAACCCTAAAGGTCACTGCAGGGGGAGGTGCAGCAGAAACTGAAAGCAGGCACAGCACTCCTGAAGAGGAAGGGGCATCAGCCACGGAGTCTGTCCCAGAGGGAGCTGGCAGGGCCCCCCTCTGAGGAGCACCTCCCCTCCATAGAGGAGATGCAAAGACGTGCACGTCCACCAGTGGAGGCCAGCCTCTCTGCCTCTAATGTGCAAGACTGCAAGGCTGTGAGCTGAGGGAGACAGATGGGGTGGGGGGGCGGGGGAGGAAAGGCTCCTGGTGCTTCTTTCTGGCTGTTATTTCCTAATGGGTCCAAATAAGAGATAAGAATATTTAGTGTAGAAATGGGATTTTAATGTCAAATTGTCATGCTTTGGGTCTCACTATATGTGGGAGATGAAGTTCAATTGTTTTCAGATTTTCCTTTCCTAAAATGTTGCTCTTTCCTGCAACTGCTTGAAAATGGATGAGGCTGAGTGTTCAGAGTGGAAATTTTGTAGCAGAAATCCTCCCTATTTGTTTTTTAATGATTCTGCATCAGAATTAAATCGGCAACAGAAAGAAAACAACAGGGGCCTCCCAAAAATTCAGGTGCTGAGCTGAAATCTTCCTTCTTCTCTTTCTTTACTTGGACTTTCCAGTCACACACACTGGCAATCATGCATCCCTCTCTCAGAATTGGAGAGGCTTCTATGGAAATCTAAGTAATTGCAAGTGAGTACAAAATGTTCCTCATTCTTACAAGAAAGAGAATCCAGGGGAACAGGAATCATTGTCAAAACCAGTTCTCAGGAGGAGACAGGCAGCCTCTCGTGCCCAAGTCCGTCCAGCACCTTGGAGAGCGGCAGCCCTCCCCATAGAGGTCCCCACCGAGGTCCCTGCTCACAACTCAGTAGCTCCCCAGGCCCCAGCTACGAAACAAGCGAGGAAGGAAGGCTACGTGAGTCGCAGGCTTCCTCTGTAGGTACTATTGAGGCCGACTGTATATTCACTCCGTTTCTCATTCCTCCCAATTCAAGAGGGCTGGAAGATACACCGGGTGATGTCCTTTCTTTGCGCAAACTCTCCAGCCACCACCCATGTAATTCAGAGAAAAAGCCACAGTCTTGGTAGGCCCTGAGGAAGCTCTCCCGGCTGGAAAAGCTCCTTCCTTCCTCCTTTCCCTGCTCATTCTGCTCTGGGAATTTTGGGGATTTGTACTCATTGTTTTCAGCAACACTTTCCCCGATCACAGCATCTGAAAGGACACTCCCCGCTCCTAGCCTCAGCACGCACTCCTTCCTCACCGCCATCCATGCACATCATCTTGTTTTCCCCACCCCCCACTCCAAAGACAAGATCAACAAGAGCAGGAATTGAGTTTGCTTTCTTTTTTTTTTTCTAAAGATTTATTTATTTATTTACACAAGCACTGGGTACAGTCAGAAGCACGGGAGGGTGAGAGGATTCACCAGAGCCAGAGCGGGGAGCAGAGCAGGCAGAAGGACCGAAGCACACTGCTGAGGGGAGCAGCGGGCGGCAGGAGAGGTCTGTGAGCCATGTGGGACCCTCCCCTGGTGGCCGGGGAGTAGCCGGGGATCGAACCGGCGCTGCAGAGGCTGAGGGAGCTTCACAGCCCAGCGCTCAACTGCTGCGCCACCAGGGGAGGCCCTGGGTTTGCTTTCTTAACTGCGGCATTCCCAGTGTCTAGAAGGCTCTCCCAGGAGTGCGGTGGGTACCAATAAACATCAGCCAAGTGAATGAATTGACAAATGAATAAACAAACGAGCAGTCCTCCAGGTAAGTAGTTCTAGCCCCACTTCATAAGTGATGGAACTTGGGCCCAAAAATGTTCTAGAAGTTTAGCCGAGTCATGCAGCAGAGCCAGCTCTGGCCCTGGGAGCCACGCCGTACCTGTGTGGCCAGAGAAGTGGTCTTGGGGACCCTGCCCCAGGACCCACTGTGGCGGTCACCTTCTCTGCACCCACTTTCTCCCACCCCCACCCCACATGGCCCTAATAGTTTCTTTTCCTTCTCCCCTCTGTAATCTCTCTCCAGGCAAGAAACACAGCGTCATCAAGTTAAGGTAGAATTGCTGAAATTCATTCTTAATGTTACTTGTCTCTGGGATTCTTGCATCCCAAGGACCTCTGAAATCTTGCCTGAGGCAGCTTGTTCTAAAGGCAAAACCCAGGCCTCCATCAACAGCCCCTGAAAACAAGAAGGCACCCCAACACTCAGTGACCCCTCACTGCCCCTCCTGCTCCCCAGGCCAATCTCCACACACCATGGGAGCAGGCAGACTTGTCTGGGGCCCTGGAAACTGACCCACCCTCTAACCGCCGGGCTCTGGGGTCACTCCCCACAAAGGTTTACGTGGCCATCATTCAGCTACACCGATGACATTGTCTAAACATGGCTCGGAAGTATTTTTTATCTTAAACACTTTACTCCTAAAACCTTAGCAGGAGGCACAATTTTTCCTCAGCAAACAAATTTCCCTGCCTGCCAGAATTTTTAGAGTGCAAATACTTTTTCATAGGCCCTTGTCCCTGGGGTTAGAATGGCATTTTAGATCCAGAAATGAGAAGAGAATTTTTCCAATTATGTTTTTAGTGTTTTATTATTCCTACCAAGCCATGTAAATGCAAATAGAAAATTAAGAAGATTCCCCCGCAACAACAATCCTTTCTTTTCCTTCTGCGAGATGCCCGATTGGCACCACACTTACCATGAGCTTATTCATGCAATGACTGTTTTTCAACTTTGCAGAAGTAAATAATGCCTGTTGGGCTGTCTAATTAGCTCCCCCACCAAAGCTCCTCGGCAGAGATAAACCTCAGTTCCCCCCAGTGGCCTGCTCCTCCCCAGTGGCCTGGAAGCTCTTTTCCTCCTGCCCGCCAAGCCTCACACACTGCAGAGCCTGTGAACAGACAGGACGCCGCCCAGGAGACCCTCCCTCCCGGCATCTCCGTCTGTGCTGAGAGGATCCTGGTCTTGGAGTAGAGAGGAAGGAGCGGGGAGCTGCCACTGGCCTCTTGGTTGTCTTTAAAGCTGACCCCACAGAAGCAGAGGCTAAGATCATGGGCAGAAGAAGCAAAAAGGGCACGGGGCCCTTCGACCAAGCTGCACCAGGACTTGTTCAGCTGAACCACGTCGACACACACACAGCAAAACGGAAAGCACAGGGTTTTCTTGGTCGGGATGCGCCGAGCACTCAGCAGGTTGCAGGATCAAACATGTTTTCTAAAGTGTGATTTTGAAATAACACATCAGCCCGGGTTGCATTACCCTTGGGGAAAAAGGAAGCTCAGGAGTTTCCAAGGCATTCCGGGGGGGGGGGGGCGGGGGGGCGGGTGCGCACAGCAGAGTTTGGGGAACTGGCGCACGATCAACCCCCTCCCCCGACCTCTCTGTGGTCATCATTGTGACTGGCATCTTTCTGTGTTTAAAATTTTTTTTAAAGGCAACACATTTCCAAGATAAAGCAACAGTCCTTGGCTAAGTCTATTTGACGGAAGAGCAGCGAGAGGCCTCTCCGGGGTGGTGACCTGGTGGATTGGTGGGTGAAAGGTGATGCCACAGCACTTGCCTAGAAGCTCAAATGGCATATTCTTAAAAAATTGGCCCTGCTAAGTCATCTCAGAAACTGTTTAAAAGTAATCGGTACTATGTATTACAGCACCGCCGGGGGGGTCATTCCCCCATCGCCGTGAGCCCGAAGATGCTCAGACCTCCAGCCAACTTCAGGTCAAAGGCCATCCCTGCTCAGAGGAGTCGCTACCTCTTCTCATAGTTCATTCTCGGATGGGGGAAGGTCGAAACAGGTGCACTTTTTTTTTTTTAAACTCAATTTTACTCTGTACCAGTTAGAAGATAAAGATATTTAAGAATTGAGCACACCAGTACTGAATGATAAAGATATAAGTGCTTTTAGTACATTAGTCACACTCAACAAAGTGAGATTAATCTCCAGAGCCTTTTGCACACTTAATCATGATTTTGTTCTTTGAAAGGAAGTTTTTTTCACCCCCATGCCAACTCCATTGCGGAAGGACCTCTTAATAGACATCTTCTCCAAGACGGGCTTTGGAGAATCCAGCTCCTCACTCCTGCCTGTCCTGGGTGGGCAGCTGTTCAGCAGGATGAGAAAGCAATCGGATTTTCCAGACACCTGGTGATTCAGATGGGGAGGAGAAGCGAATACAGCATGAGGGTTAAAGTTTATTTTAACAGTCATCATTCTCAAAGTTGTAAGGCAATGAATCCAGCACATCCAATCTTTTTAAAGGAAAAAATTCTGCCAAAATATAATACATACTTTCTCTAAGTACGAACCACTGTTTGGAGCTGCCCACACTCTTGCCTAAGTTTTACCCTACTAATAAAATTGCTGTTATCCATATTTGCATCATACACTGTATCTAGTTATCTTATTGCTATTTACTTTCCAAAGAGTATTTCAAGTGGTACTAGTTAGTCTTGGGAGTAGTTTTTAAGTTCTTTGAGAAAAGCAGGCCACAATCATCAAACTCAGGTATCGGGTGGGACCTTTGGAGCCGTCCTGGGCACGCGTCCAGGTCTGTGGGAGCCCTTGCTGCCTGAATACCAGCGTCCTCATCTTTTGTCTTGGGCTCAGCTCCTCGGAGCACTTTGAAGGTCTTGGAGATAGATACAGGAGAGAGCTGGGGTGCTTCTTCATGAAAGAAACATCTGCAATCTTAGAGCTCAGGCTGGCCCTGGAGAACGGGCAGTGCAGCGAGGCCACCAGGCCCAGGCACCAGATAAGCATCTCCAGCTCTTGCCACATTTCCTCTCTCTGGTCTTGGAGGAGGTGAGACCAGTGATGAGTTACGACTGGAAATCTCAGCAGAGGAGGAGCTGAGGTGTTGCATGATTTGCCATGATGCTAACGCCACGTGCTTTGAGCGTCATCTCATTTTATCCCCTCAAAGAGCTCAATGAACTAGGTATTATTATTATTTCCTTAATTGTGATTTTTTTTAATGAGGAAATCAAGTGACTTGCCGAGAAAGCAAGGGTAGATTCCAGGCGTCTGCACAAGCCCGTGTTTCTCAGCTTTGCGAGGGCCACAAGAAAGAGAGGGGCCAAACACTCTTGTTACAAAGGAAGAAACAAAATGCGATTAGAAATGGTATGTTTTCCTATCCTGACATGGGGCTGGAAGCTGATTTGGGGCCAGAGTGTATAAAATTAGCCCTGGACCCTTTGCCCACAGCTGGGTGGTTTCCAAGATCCCCAGCTGTCATGGTGCCCCAGGCTCGCCTTCCGCTGACCTCTGAAAATAAGGTGGGCATTTTTTTTTTTCCTATTTTGAATCTGGCAAAAACCAAACAGAGTTTCAGAAATACGGGGAACCAATCAAAACTCGCATGTGAAAACTCACTATGTCGTCTGCCTGTCTTCACAGAGGAAATCTAAGCATGCAATAATACCATCTATTTTAAATCCTCAGCAAACAGGGGCCTGTGAGTCATTTCAAAAAGGGAAACATTTCAGTTCTTTCCAGAAATACACTATCACCTTATATTTAAAAAAAAAAAAAAGCATCAGTTCTAGCTGTGAGAGCTATCCCAAGCATCCCTAAAAGGACAGTAATGTCCTGTGCTGGTCACTGAAGGAGCCCTGGCAGGCAGGCTGGTGATCAGGATACCAAGGCATGCTGGCCTGGCTGGTGGCCTTGACGGCGCACAACTCCTATCATAAGAGTCTCTGTGGCATCCATCTGGACATTCACCAGCCCTACATGGCCAGGCATGACAACAAGATAGGGTGTTAACGAGAATGAAACTGTCACACACAAAAATAGAAATATGGAAAGTTCAGGGAAGAAAGAAACATTTCATTTATGGACAAAGAACTCTCATAAGTGCATTAAAAGAAAGAACATTCTTAATTTTAAAAAAAGCTCCACACAATTGCCTCTTCCAACAGAAATGTCAGAAACAAACCTTTGGGGAAAGAATAGAGAGTAATTAGGAAGACACTTGAGAAAAAATACCAATTTATGGATTGTGACTCATCAGCTTGACCAATATGGTGTCTTATAGAATCAATGACTAAATTAGTGTTGAAGGCTCATAGGAATAAAACAGGAAAAGGAAGCTGGGTTAAGTAAACAAGAGATAGAAAAATGACAGATGCAAAGATTAGCCAGGCAATCAATAATAAAAATAGCTAGACCATTATGTTTGGACACATATTTATTATTGAGCATTGAGATGTCATTATCCTAAAAATAGTCTCATACATTACATTGATTTCAGTAATTATGGTATGCTGGGTTATGTTTTAGTGAAGGAAAGTTAAAAGTGTAACAAGCTATAAGCAAGAAGAGATTTACTTTTTAAACAAAATATTGCCAAAAAACAACTGAAATAGCTCATAGAGAGAGTACCAGAAATTCCAAGGAAAGGCATTCACTTTGATTCTTAAGCTGTTCAATAACTGTAGCTAACAGCTCAATCAATATTCTTCAATAAACACGAGTTAATAATTTCCCTGATAATTCATTGAGACCTCATATACTTATTTTCTCTATCAGAAAAAGTCACCATTTTGTAAAATTAGGAAATCCATTGCTTTCGAAAAGTGATGCAATGTATTTTTAAGATAGTATCAATGGCTAATAGTTTGCTTTCAGTTTGAATAGATGCACAGGGAATAAATTCATTGCCACGGGAAAAACACTTCACGTTTTACATGGTAATGAATATTTTCCTAAGCAGGGAGCAAGTCGTAAATGATTCAAAACAAATTTTAATACAGTCTGGTATTATCTATTATCACAAAACTTTGTTTTAAACTAATTCCATGACTCTACATATACTTTTAAATCGAAAGCTGTAATAATAAGGAAAATTACTCTTTTGTCACATAGTTCCTGAGTTAATTCTAGCCCTCTAGTCAAGCATCAAAAATCGAGGCAAAACTCTTACCTTAGAAGATGAAGCAGGGTAATTGCAAAACACATGCATCGTAGAAACTGTCAGAACTAGAAGAATATTGAACTTTAATGAGCTGCAGAATAGGAAAAAAAGATCAGATTAGCATCATTTACGAAAGTATAAATAAAAAGGCATATAGAAATTCAAGCATTTTCTTTGCGGAAAAATGCAATCTTTTACCTAATCATTCTGGACTTTCAGAAATCTCTGCGGCCTGGCAGCTCTATTGCCAAATTCCTCACATTCCTTGCGCTTGCTGTCAGATCCCCCTGGGGTGGCCCTTTTATACCAGAAAAGTTCAGGAGTAAAAATGTCATCACGTCCCATCACAAGTGACTAATTGGTCTGACTGTGGCCTTTTGTTCTTGTTAAGCTAGAAAAGGACAGTAACGTATAGGCACTGTCACTGTGCTTCCAGTGATGGGCTTCATTTAAAGTTTGCCATTAAACATGTCCCTCCAGGGCGCTGCGTGCTAAACTGCATCACTGCGACTTCGAGGGCCAGGGGTCTTGGAAACAGCTGGAAGTTTGCTTAGCTCAACCCACTGGAAGGGTGGCATTATTCCCTGGGGTGTCCCGGGCACCTTATTTCACAGAATAACAGGAAGGAATCCTATTGTTTAAAAATGAACAATGATGTAAAATGTATATAAATTAAAAATTAAAAATTAAAAAAATAAGATTGCAACCGTGAAAAAATTAGTAAGGAATGTCTTCCCGAGCTATGCAGTTTGTTTATACTTTGTACAATAATATCCTTCCTCTAGGACTTCTGAGGTAGGTATAAGCAGGAAAGCAAAAGCTCAGGCCTGTCCCTCCAGTTCTTCTAGTAAAGGAGAGGCGCACCCCCACCCCACCGTGTGCAGCCCAGGAGTCCTGGCTGGGTCTGGAGGAAGCCGCCCGCCACAGCTCCTTCCTCTCTCCCACGTGGCCTCGTCCTGGGAAGGGCCTGCTGCCCGGGCCTGACGACGGGCACCCACATTGGTGAGCTGACTCGGGAGCGCCAACGTGGGCAGACGTCGCTGAGCCCGCCACGGCAGCGGCACCGAGGGAAGTGCTCTCTGCCGGGTCATGAGTATCGCTGAGATGGCGCGACGGTCCTCGAACACAGAGCAACTAGGGAAAGTCCCCGCCTGCTGGAGATCAGCGCCTTTCCGAGGACAAAGCTCCCTGTGTGTGATACTCGCTGCTCGTTTGTGGGTGCTTCCTCCCTTCCTCTGGGGAGCGGCCAGCATGAGGCTCCGCAGGAGTCAGTCACGGAGCCCCAGGCGGCCGCCACCAGGAGAGCACATGAGTTCGCGGGCGAGCTCCAACCACAGGAATCGGCGCCCCTGGCGAGGGAGGGCAGGTGATCCAGAGATTTGATCACAGGTCTTTGGGGGGCACCATCTGGGGCTGGGAGGGAAAGAGATTTGAGAGAGCCAAGGAACAGAACACACGTATTTGCCTCTGGTCTCCCTGAAGCCCAGCTCAATAAACCCGGGGATAGAGGGAACAGGAGTGAGGACGCGGGGCCGTGTTTTGCTGAGTGATGCTCAATTGGCTGAGAAGATCAGAGAAATGGCCACGCGGCAGGACGCGACCTGCAGCCCCACAGTGAGTCGGCTGCCAGCCCCTGTCCAGGCCAGAACAGCCCCACACCCTTCTAGACTCAACCTCTCTGTGCTCCGCCGAGATCTGGCCAGACAAGCACCTGAAATTCTTGCTGGTCACCTGAAAGCATGGTCTGAAATATTTTTCCTTCTTTCAGCTGTTTGCCTGGCTCCTGGGAGCTTGTTTGGCTGTGGAGCTTCCCGTCTCCAAGGGTATCATAGTGCCTCATTTCTTGGCGGAAATAAATCCATATCACTTAGAAAACAGTTCAATATGGAAATCCAGGACGGAGTGGAAAGCCTTTCACTGAGTCTGGAAACCCTCAAGATCTAATTGCCAGTGAGAATGGGCTTCAGGGCCTATCTCTCCTTCTCTGGCCTTCCAGAAGCATCTTGAGACCAGGGGCTCTTGGCTGGACGTCCATGAAACCCCAAGGAGATGCCCAGGTGGGCTCAGGCGCTGGAGCCCCAGGTGGCATGTTGTTCACTGTCCTTCTCATAGGAGGACCTTTGTGGGGCAGAGGCGTCAAAGCTTTCATAAAATTCTCAAAGATTCTGTAAGATCCTTGTCCTCTCTCCCTCCCGCCCACAGATAAGCACTACTGGTTTAGATATAAGCCCACAGCCACGCGGATTGTCTCACCCCCCCACAGTGGACAGGGCGGGTTCCTCCTGGCCACCTGCCTCGTGCTGCTAAGGCCGGGCTGGCATTGCTCAGGCTCGGTAGTGAGTGAGGCCGATGGGAATTCCAGGTGCATATTTGACCTGGTCCATTAGATTCTTATCCAGACTTATTAGCCCCTCGCCTCTCCCCCGGCCAGGACAGCACTTGCTGACACCTGATCTGAGCGGTTGGCCACGAAGCTGGTTTTAAACAATGGACCTCAGCAGACTCAATGCAACAGACATGGGCACTCTTTTGTGGCTGGCTCCTCCCCACACCCGTCATCACCTGGGATGTGCTTGTCCTCGCTGGCCCCGCTCCTCGGAGGTGCACCAGAGGCTCAGGTATGGAGCTGCCCCAGACCCGCACAGCCTGTGACCAGAAGCCGCCCCAGACACGGGAGCAAGTCCAGCGGAGGCCAGAAGGAACATCCAGTCCGGAGAGCCGATGGCCACTCTGTGTTGCACAATATTCAACAACTGTTGTTTCCATTCAGCGTTGGGGCATTTTGTCAGGCTCAAAGGCAGCACAGCAGCTATTCAGTAAACATTCTCTGAAGGGACTAAGTCCGAGAGTCTGAGCACGGCCTGCAGGAGCTCTCGGTCCTCAAGCCGCCTGCCACTGCCGGCCCTTCCTTCCCCGGCTCGAGCCCCTCCGCACGCCCCCTGGCCCCGAGGCTGGGCTCAGCCTCCCTCCGGCCACACTGACACTCGGCCCAGTGCGATCACCTCTCCTGCAGGTCAGCAGGCTGATGGCGCGGAAAGCCTGGCACCTCAATCTTTCAACCCCTGCGTGGGTCCACGGGAAAGACGTCTGCTTTGAAAGTAACTTCCGCTGCCTGAATGGATCACAGCAAGCCCTGGTCGGCGCCAGAGGGGCTGAGCCCACTGTTCGTTCACTGGGTACGTATTTTTGGTCACCTGATACGTGCTGGGTCCTGTGCTGGGCTCAGGGGACACAGCGTGAACAAGACGCCCCCCATCCCCCACTTTGTCTCCAGAGTTCTCAGCTCACGTTCAGTGGCAAGAGCTGCGCTTGCATTTCTGCCTATTAAACGTGAGCCCACAGCGGTGGAGCAGCCCTGGGTGGGGTAGCAGGGAGCTGGGGCTCAGGTCATGGAAACAGCCCTGGCTTTGAGGCAGGGTGGGAGCCCAGCACCCAGCTTCCTTCGGGACTGCCGACAGCCTGAGCACCTCACGCAGTGGCAGAAGCTTCCCGGTCACCAGCGTCCAGGCCCAAAGGCAACAGCCCAGCTTCCGAGCCCGACCTAAAGCGGCCTGAGCTGGAAATGCCCGAAGCAAGATTCCTCTTCCCAGCAAACCTGGTTGGCCTGCGGGGAGAAGACAGATGTGGAATACTGGATGCCCGGAAGGAGGGGTGTCACAGTGGAGAACGGGGGCTGGACTCTGGCGCCCCAGCTCGCCGGGGCCTGGGCTGACCGTGGCTCAGCTGGCCGTGCCTACAGTGAGGCGTCCGTGGCATGTGTCACCGGCAGCCACAGAGACCCGTCGTCCAAACCTAAAGGGCAGGAGACTCCGCCTTGGATGGAAGGGACTCTCCTCGAAGGGTTGCCCTCCAGCGTGTCACGAAGGAGCTGTCTTCCCGTGGCCCAGGCCTCTCACACGTACCCCCACGACATCAGCGTGAGCACCAGAGAGAGGCCAGATCCGTTTTGACTTTGCGTCTCGCCGGTGAATGCTGAAGTGGAGAGAGGCTTTCTGAATCATGCTTCAGAAGTTCAAGTGCGTCAAGCCAGACATTTTTGCACTGAAAAGATCAAAGAAGGCCTTTTCCTTTCTCCTTCCCGCACGTCCTGTGGCGGCGCCAGCACCTTCCCCCAGCGCCGACCCGGTGCGTTCGCCCTCTCTCCTCGCTGCGCTAGCACTGGGGACTGTGCTGAAATGATTTTAAAAACAAGCAAGAAGAGGTTATCAGGTTAGTATAATTTAGGGTTTTGATGTATTAAAAAAATTCTACAATTGATTCCATTGCCTCTAATTATAACACACATTAAGCCCTGCATCTTTCTGCATACATGGAAAAATCAATTTAATTTTACTGCTTCTTAAGTCATACAACCGTTATATCCTCTGAAAGTGTAATTAAAATGCAGGACGTGGCCAAGCACATTTTCTGGTTTTGTACGAGACCAGGAGAAATAAAGGCTTGCGCAGAGCTGAGGCTAATTTATTGCAATAAATCACGGCTCCAATTCATGGTGGTCCCTAAAGTGCTCCGTTATAGTTTTCACATGAGCGCTCAGAATGGCCGGTGCTGCAGGTCGGCGTTCAGGGAAGGAAAAGGCAAAGAAGACCCAGAAGCCGAGGCAGGATGTGGCCCGGGGAGCCCCCTCCGAGCTCCCCTGGACGAGCTTTCTCAGCGCGCTTGGGCATTCGCCCTGACCGTGGTTTTTGGCTGCGGGGAAACGCCGTGTGCCTGACGGCAGGTGACGCGTCCCTGGCCTCACTCTGAGACAGCAACGGCCCATCACCCCCGGACAGCTGGAAATGTCTCCCAACATTGCCACGAGTCCCCTGGGGGAGGCAGCCCAGTCACCCCCGGCTGAGGACCACGCATCTGGAAAAGGCCAGGCCGTGCTCCAGCCCCTCCTGCCGCCGCTGCCCCACCCCTGCCCCTCTGCCCCGAGAGCTGGGGCAGCTTCCTCTCCCTCACGGTACCCCAGTTTCTTGGCGGCCCACCTGTCCAGTGGACACCCGGTGGGCCTGGGGCCTCCTGGGGAGAGACTTGGATTCCACAAGCGCAGAATTCATCTCAGAGCCCACTGGACCCGGGAGGAGTTGAGATCAACAACTGACAGATGATCCAAATAATTAGTAAGATACGAGGCTGGTTTTTCTCTCCACCTGTTTTCACTTACAAACTCCTCTGCAAGGGCCTGTTTTTCCCACCCTTGAGATTCACCTGAACGAGATCCCGAATGTGCTCTTAGAAAGGG